CGTTTACTTATCAGTTACAAGTGCATGTTTTGTTTCATTCCGCTTGCATGCTAGAAGCGTCTACGTCTTGTCTGTTTTTTGTAGTTTGCTAGTTGATCGCGCTTGAGGTAAGTAAACAGAGAGCCAGGACGTCGCACACCGGCTGCTTCGTAACTGGGAGCAGCAATCATTTGCATATAACATCAACAGTGACTTGTCAATCAAAGAGCAACGCGAACAAACTTTCTGGACTTTTAATCACATACGCGTGCCTCGGTTTCCTATATTTTAAAATTGATTTTTGAGTATGTTCCGACAATGCTCCGAAATTTTAACACTATCTAGCCAAGACTGTCTAAGTGAGAAAAAGCAAAAAAAAAAAAAAAAAATTCACGAAAAGTGCCCACGAACCTGCATCTCTACCTTAATATTATAATTGAAATGAAAATGTACTTTAGATTGGTCTGGGTGAACGGTCACCAGGTCTTTGAAACACACAAACTGTTCAGGTCTGCAGTTTTATTCAATTATTTTTACTAATAAAGTATACTTTGCATTGAAACTGGAATATTGTATCACAGACAATTTTTTAACCTTGAAGATGGTCACTGATAGCATCGTGGTTGTCGCATCAGACTCATGAACGGTAGACTCAAGTTCAAATCCTACCTTAGGTTGAATATCAAAAGGGTCGACCCCTACCCTGGGCGAGTGTGCCACAGACTCAATGGGAAGGCCAATTCCACTGGCTGAGATTCATTTACTAACGAATGCGACTTTGGGGGAACCTTGGTTAAGGTTCACAGGTGCTAGTGTTCGACAGGGCCTAGTTGATGCCAGGATAGCGCATTAAATTGCCATTTGATAGGAAAATGGCCGCACAGCCCCGTCATGTAGTCCCAAACATGAATATGACTTCTGTGGCAAAATTGTCAGCACTTACAAAAAATAGTCAGGAGGGACAACAGTGACATTCAATGTCCAGAACTGTCGCCTGGCACAAAAAACATTTGAAAAAAACAAATAAACAACAATCTTGAATCGTTAAAATTTATTCTGCCATTTATAATTAATTTATTAAGGGTAGTGGTCGTCAGGTAATTCATCTGGCTGAACATCGGTCAAAGCATGGCAGAAATGGCACTAGAACCACATTCATTAAAACAAAAAAGGCTGCCAGTCTGTCATTTTGAATCAGATCTAAAAAATAAAATGCATCAAGGACCGAAAATGTCTAATGCATGTACCTAATGTGAACAAAATGAGTCTGTCAACGGCCAAAAAAATGCTTGATTTCGATGATTTTTTCAGCACAAGAATTGCCAAATTCGGCCATCTTGACTACCGGTATGTACAATGCATGTGTGAAGTTTGAATGTCATCAGTCCAGGCCTGTCCAAGATATAGGTCTGGGCGTGCACACACATTGTTATGTAACACAAACATACAACACGCGTATATCAACAGAATCTGTTGAATGCCATTGGTCAGTACTAAATCCAGATGTGGTTGACATACAGGGAATGTGAAAGACGGTGTACAACCGACCCTTTTATTTATGAAATTAACTTCAGCTCTGTGCATGGGCCAAAACTATTTTCATTTGTAACCATTCACTGTAGAAGTCTAATCACAACTCATTACCACCTAAAGATGCTAACCAAAACCATGGCATTTACCATCACGAATTATCTATACACAATTATATACCCCGCATTGCATTGCATTGCATTGCCTGGCCTGGCCTGGCCACGTTTCCCATGTCACGGTCTTGACCAAGTTATTTTAAATTACATTGTATGCGCAAGGTCACACCATGGTAAAATTGTAGTTTTACCTACAAGGTACATGATAAAACCGTATTCAGTCAAGAATACTATCATGCCCCATCAAAAATCAAGTGATGCATCAACTTGTGGTATTTTCTAAAACAAAGATTGTGTTTCCAATTTTTTTTCTGTTCTGTCCAGAAGACCTAACATACTTATACAATTAGAAATGAAAATGGTCCGTCAAAAATAAGACTTTGGTGCAGATCTCAAACCAACCAAAAGATTTAGCTCTCAATGCAAAGCTACCTATTAGATTGTGCCTGATTGGCTACCCAACACGCAATAGTCAGCCAATCAAAGCACAGCTTATTAACCTATGCTATGTATGGTATGTATTTTTGACACAGATTCTGCCATGTATTCATCTTAACAAATGCTCTTGTGTGGCTCTAATACACGAGGAGCAAATATGTGAAACCTAAATTGTATTGTGAGTTTGAGGAAACACAAATAAGAACAGTATTACACATAGATATGTATTCTCTTAAATAAGAACCATGTTCCTTTTATTTATTATGCAATGAATTCATATGGGATTGGTTCAAACACCTCAGGCTTGTTGTTCTTTGTCCTCACAAAGTGTCCTTTACGTGGCTGTTTTGGCTGAAAGAAAAGAAAGTACATTGTACCAATAGTCACCACAAGTTTGATTGTATTGGGGGAGGGGCATTAGCAAACCAAAGTGTTGGTATGACAAATTTAAACAAGCAGCCTATCGGCTGAGATAGCTCCGCTGTTAGCAATGCACATTACAATTTAAAGAACAGAAGATATCATTAGAAAATGAACAATATGTATAGTATCAAAGCAATCGGACTTGCAGTTTTTAACAAGAAGTCGAAAATATCACTTTTTACCAAAAATGACAAATATTCACCAAAATTAGAGAATTGAAGATATCATCACAAAATGAACAAATCTGAGAGAGGTCCACATGTAGTACCTATATATGTAATATCAAAGCAATCAGACTATTGGTTTTTAACAAGAAGTCGAAAATATCACTTTTTACCAAAAATGACAAAAATATTCACCAAAATTAGAGAATTGAAGATATCATCACAAAATGAACAAATCTGAGAAAGGTCTACATGTAGTATCTAAATATGTAATATCAAAGCAATCAGACTATTGGTTTTTTACAAGAAGTCGAAAATATCACTTTTTACCAAAAATGACAAAAATATTCACCAAAATTAGAGAATTGAAGATATCATCACGAAATGAACAAATCTGAGAGAGGTTCACATGTAGTACCTATATATGTAGTATCAAAGCAATTGGACTTGCGGTTTTTTTTTAACAAGAAGTTGAAAATATCACTTTTTACCAAAAATGACAAAAATATTCACATGTATCACTAGAAGAAGAAAACCACTTAACAATTCAATACTACTGTTGGTGACAAGACTATTCTACACATAATTTAATGTTCACTAACCCGTCTTTTCAAACTTAAACCGATCTTGATTCCTTGCTCCTTAAACTTCTTTCGTTTTTCTTCATTGTCTTTGACTCTTCTTAAGAAATCGTCTCTGCACTTTGAATGTTTGACATGTTCAATCCTGACATTGATTCGTTTTTGAATAATCCGATTTCTGTGAAAAGTAACAGTTAGAAAATGATCAATTCTTAAATGCAATCTCTGCATGCAATAAACTTAAGCATCCCTTTTTTGAGGGATGCCCAGTGGTTGAGGGGGAAACATGCCGCGACATGATGCTAAGCGATTAGTTTCCGTAAGAGAGCATCAGTACACGTCATGCACGCAGTACATGTTTACTTTGATTTTTACCATGCCATTTATTCAGTATTATATACTTGCTTTACTTTTTACGTGAACAGAAACCATGAGATTCTCTGCACTTAATCCTGAAAATGGAAGTCTGTCCAGACAAATAATGGAGGTACAGAAATAGACCCCTTCACCAAGTCAATAACTAAACTAATATAAATATTATTTCAATATCCCCCATCATTTCAAATGTTGCATATTCAATAACAGTTCCAAGAATTTATAAGACAAGGGTACAAAACATGAAGATTCCATTGAAGTCACAAGAAATGAGAGATAAAACACATTACTAGAAAATTTACTAATTCAAATTAGTAATTGTAGCTCACAGGGTTCTCCACGGTTTGAAAATTAAACAG